GCGATGGGGGCTCAGGGCAGGGAATTGGGGTGTGGGGTGCAGGAGTGGTGAGAGGTGCAGCAGGGGGTCGGGGTGCAGGGTGTGGCGGGGGCTCAGGACAGGGAGTTGGGGTGCAGGAGGGGTGCGGGGTGCGATGGGGGCTCAGGGCAGGGAATTGGGGTGTGGGGTGCAGGAGTGGTGAGAGGTGCAGCAGGGGGTCGGGGTGCAGGGTGCGGTGGGGGCTCAGGACAGGGAGTTGGGGTGCAGGAGGGGTGCGGGGTGCGATGGGGGCTCAGGGCAGGGAATTGGGGTGTGGGGTGCAGGAGAGGTGAGAGGTGCAGCAGGGGTTGGGGTGCAGGGTGTGGTAGGGGGCTTAGGACAGGGAGTTGGGGTGTGGGATGTGGCAGGGGGCTCCGGACAGGGGGTTGGGGTGCGGGCTCCGGCGTGGCGCCGCTTACCTAGAGCGACTCCAGGGTGGCAGCACCTCACTGAAGAGAGAGGCTCAGGACTAGGGCGGAAGGGCAGCCTGCCCTGGCCCTAGTGAAGAGGGACACTAGGACCTGCCGGAAGCCGGCAGCCTGCAGAGCAGAGCGGATTCAAGGTGTGCTGCAGGCTCCTGAGTCACCATGTGCTGCAGGCTCTAGACTCGGGGCAGTGAGGAGGCAGCAAGTGGGTGCCGGGAGACACTCCCGGGAGGGTGTGTGGGGGTGGCAAGTGCCCCGAACATTGGGGAGCAGCGCACGGGGAGCTTAACAGGCACAGAAAATAACTCGGGGGGGGGGGGGCAGGGGTGAGGGGAGTTTGGTGGCCACAGGAAGTAACGGATGGGGGCATGGGGAGCTCCACGGGCTGCAGGGAAGAGCTCTGTGGGCCGCATGCGGCCTGCAGGCTGCGTGTTTGAGACCCCTGGTTTAAAAGTTCAGTATTTCAGTCTTGCATGCTCCTAAAGTTTCCCCACATTCTCAGTAACTAGTGACTAAGGGTATGCCTACACAGCCCACAGCAGTGAGCCTCCCAGCCCAGGTCCATAGACTTGGGCTTGCACTAGTGCTCTAAAAATAGCTGTGTACGCAGCATTTGAAATTGCCTCCCTAGTCCTCAGAGTCTGAGGTGCAATTTCAAAGCAGTGTCTACAGCTGTTTTTAGAGCGCTAGCATGAGCCTGAGTCTGTTAACCTGGGCTAGGAGGCTCATTTCCACGGGCTACCTAGTCATACCTAGTGTGTGTCTTTCAAGAAAGTTAACCACAGTGCTTGTTCGAAGCACTACCTCCTCTCTTCTGCTTTCTGACATTTTCATTGGGAACCAGTTTTTAAAAAGTTACCTGTTATAAACATAAGACAAATCTAAATTTACATTATTGAGTGATCAGGTAACTGATACAGTGATTATTTGCTACTTTCAGAGAGATTCTGAGCTTCTTGAAGTGGGGATCATGTGTAAAATAACTACACAGAGAGACTGTGTACTAATGGATGATATGAAATATTCAATAATTGTTGCGGTTAGCAAACAATGTAATAAATAGAAAGCTAAAATTATAAATGTAAGGGGTGTAGTTCTTTGTTTGCATAACCAGTGCCATTCCCAACACTAGTGCATCTATGTCTAGGGCCCTACTAAATTCATGGTCTGTTTTGGTCAGTTTCGCAGTCAGAGGATTTTTAAAATAGTCAATTTCACGGTTTCAGATGTTTACATCTGAAATTTCACAGTGTTATAACTGTTGGGGTCCCTACCCAAAAAGAGGTTGTGGGGAATCGCAGGATTTGCCACTCTTACTTCTGCACTGCTGCTGCTGGTGGGGGCGCTGCCTTCAGAGCAGGGTAGCACCCTTGGCTGGATGTCACCAGTCCTGCCCCTCCCCTACAATTGCCAGATATCGAGGGGGAGGAGAGATCAGGTTATACAGTTTGTGATGCATTTTTTACGGCCCTGAATTTGGCAGGGCCCTATGTATATCTATCAGGTGTAGAATACACCTGTAAATCTGGGATTTTCCTCATAGGAATCGCATTTTCATACTATTAGTGTTTGTTAGCAGAAGTAATAGAACAGCAATGCACTTTTCTCAGAGCTTCATGAAAGATCTCCCTCCTTGTGTGGAACATCCTTTGACACCAATAAAAGAACATTCATGTAAGGAGAGCAGAGTTTCAGATCTACTGTGCATATCTAAGAGGATGATTGTCCTAAATGTAGAATTAACTGGAAATACTTTACAGGGTGTGGTGACACTGTGGGCTAGTTAGAAGCTTCTCTCTTCTAGAGACTTGTGTAAATGTTTTGTTCATGTCCCAACTGTATAAGAAATTTGAATTTTTCTCAATTTATCCCTTGTAAATGTTTTTCCACATGTCATATTTTGACACAACTGGCATTATGGGTTTAGAAAAATCCAGGATTTAATTAAATATGTGAAGAAGGCAAGGACTAAGTTTAATCACTGGATGGTGGGTAAATTTAAACATCATCTGCTGTAATCTGCCTGGCTAGGCCAGATGCTGAACATTAATTCAGAAAAAAATAAGTGAATAAATAAAAAGTTTATATTAATAAAATGTCTGTGTCCTTAAAACATAAACTATATCAGTTTGGTGCTGACTGTGAAGAGTCTCATCTGATTTAAAATTTATTATGGACACAAATGAGTTTACAAGGTAGAGGGGTTTGTCTGTAAAGCAGGTGGGAAAAATAGAGAGGTTTCTTATCACTCAGGGATTCTTCCTACCCTAAGAATT